TCCATTGTTATGTTGGTATCTCGCGCACGCTTGGTTTTTTTTGGTGTTCCATTGTTACGTTGGTATCTCGCTCACGCTTGGTTTTTCTTGGTGTTCCATTGTTGTGTTGGTATCTCGCGCACGCTTGGTTTTTCTTGGTGTTCCACTGTTATGTTGGTATCTCGCGCACGCTTGGTTTTTCTTGGTGTTTCACTGTTATGTTGGTATCTCGCGCATGCTTGTTTTTTTTGGGTGTTCCATTGTTAAGTTGGTATCTCGCGCACGCTTGGTTTTTTCTGGTGTTCCATTGTTATGTTGGTATCTCGCGCACACTTGGTTTTTCTTAGTGTTCCATTGTTATGTTGGTATCTCGCGCACGCTTAGTTTTTCTTGGTGTTTTACTGATTTCTTTTCGATCGATTTTGCCGGGTTTAAGGTTAGTATCTTGTGCACTTTAAACTTTCCTTGTTGTCCGTTCGTTACCTTGCTATCTCGCCCGATCGTTTCGTTGGTATTTTTTAATACATTTAAATGGTGTCCAATGCTTATAATTGCATTTCGTAGACTTTTTGTTGTAATTTTTACTTTTGCCTGATTGTTAAGGTAGTGTCTAACACACTTTAAGTTTTTCTTGTTGTCCGATTGTTACAATAGTATCTTGTGCACTTCCTTGGTGTCGGGTTGTTAGATAAATATCACGGGCACTTTTAGTTTACCTTGATGTGCCATTATTACTTCAGCATCTTGCACTCTTTTAGTTTTCTATGTTGTCCGTTTGTTACCTGAGAATCCCACGCTCTTTTAGTTTTTCTTGGTGTCTGATTATTACTTCAGTGTATCGTGCACTATAAGAATTCCTTGTTGTCCTATTGTCATGTTAGCATCTCGTGAATTCTCAGCTTTTCTTAGAGCTCGATTTTTATCACCCATTTTTTAAATTTCATTGATGTCCGATTGTGAAGTTAGTATTTCGTGGTTTTCTTGGTTTTCCTTGGCTTCTCATGCACTTTTAGTTTTCCTTGTTTTCTTCTGGTTACGATAGTATCTCAAGCACTGTTAGGTTTCCTTGTTCTCCTATGATAGATATCTTAGAAAAGAAGAGCAATACATGTACTCACATTATAAAAAAACAAAAGAAAAAAGTTTAATTTCGCTACCAAGTACACTCTAACATTAATTCTTTTCCTTCCTCTGTTTTTCATACGGTGCTGTTTCCTGGATTCTTCTTTTTCTAAAGCAGCTCTCTAGCCATTTTGAACTGACAACCTTAACATCATCGTTTAATTCTTGAGAGGAGTGCTGAAAATGAAAATGAATAAAATAAGGAATACTCAACTTAAGTACCAAGAAAAAAAATTTGACTTAAATGTTGGAAAGTCGTTAATTTTAATGGAATGATACGCGAGTCGCTGAGGACTAACGGTTTGCGCGCTAAACTTTGTCTGGAATTAAAAGTATCGTGTTTGGTTTTTAAGGTAAGGCAAATCACACTAGGAGATCCTCTCTCCGCCCAGGTGTATAATATAGCCGGGAACAATAAACAATCGGGGAAACCCGACGAATTTCTGGAGGGTTCTCTACACTGAAGGAACTAGTTTCCGTTCTGCGGATTGGTAAACGTCCTCGTAATTCCTTGTCCCAAAGAGCTATCTTTGTATGTCTTGTTCATATTCAAGATCCAGATTTTATGTGTTATGAAATCAAATAACAATAATACCAGGGAACGAAACAGAAGATTATGTTTTTCAGTTTTAGCTAAGAGCAGCTCTTATATTCCTTTAAAGTACATTTTCAAATATGCCTTTGGGCCTGTAAAATTACCGGGGTCTTTCGAGAAACGGGTTAAAGGAGTACAAAACAATACTGCTCTGCAGAACTGGTGACTTCAAGTCAGAAGCGGGATAAGCTCCGGCAGTACCTGGCTACTAGGCGCGTAAGAGTTAACCTGCTTTTGTTTACTGAAATGAAAATATGACTGCATGTTACTTACATATTGATCGCTGTCATCACAAGTTACCACATGAGTCACATCCCCGCACGCAATGTGTGATACATCGCCATTGTAAATAAACAAGTGTTAAAGATGAAATTTTCCAGTACGTTATACACGCCTAACTGTCTTGGTCAATTTTATAGAAATAAATCACTTTACTTAGAAATTTTTTAAGGAAAATGTTAAAATTTGTCACCGGCGTCGAGCAGCAACTTTAGCAGTTATTCTCCCGGCTTTAAGCTAAATTCTGACTTTGTTTTCAAGGCTCTACATTAGGAGGAGCTTCAAAGACGTCTCCGGCATAAATTAACTATCTGACTCTCAGAATGCCTCTCTCCCCCAGGAATGAAAATGGGAACCGGTAAACCACCATGAAAGACCTGACGAAATGCTGTGGGTAACCTAAAACCGATCAGTATCCCATCCAGGAGTAGACGGCATTCTAGGGGATATTTTTCCTTCAGATGAGTTTTTGGTGTTGTTTGCCATTTTGGGAAAGGGTCCATAATACATCACTGAGGTGACTGTTATGATCAAGTTATACCTTTCTTCGTAATAGGAAAGGAGAACATGCACTTTCGAAACAAATAAAAATGGAGATTAAAGGATATGCCACCAGATAGCGTGTCAATTGCTTCCTATGTGTCTCTTCAACATTATGAAACAAGACATTCACACCGTACATGAAGTCAGGTAGTGAATGCTTTGTACTCTTTCGATGTTCACCATGAGAGGATTCATCATCCTTGGATGTTTCCCGCTTGTCTTTCGCCTTGTAACTTCTTTTTTTCAGAGAATCTGCGTTTAATGATGTCAGAGTTTTTGAGTTATTTGTAGCTGATTGTCTATCAAAATAATATCTGCGATAGTGTCAAGATCTGTTAGTTCAGTTCTACTTATATAAAATAAAATATAGATATCGATCAGATTTCGTTATTTCACCCCGTTACAAGACCGCTCTTTAAAAAGTTATTCCCTCAGTTCACCTTGAGAGACGCGACATGACTCCACACTGAACAATTCGGCGTTGGAAAAAATTTG